GGCTTCCGAAATTGATTTTCCACTTTTTGGAGGAGAAGGACCTAGGGAATGGCTAAGGGAAGCTAGGAAATATTTTCAACACCATCAAACTCCTGATGAACTTAGATTAGGAGTTGCAGAGATTCATTTGGAAGGGAAAGCTTATATATGGTTTTATTGATTCATTGCAAACCATCCTAGGGCGGATTGGAGTTTATTCTCTGCGGAACTTTGCAGGAGATTTTCAGATACTATTGAGGAAGAGGTGATTGAATCAATTAGCAAGATATGGCAGGTAGGAACATTGGTAAAACATCAAGAGAGTGAGGACTCTAAACCTGAAGAGGGACAAAGAGGTGAAGTCATGGAGATATCAATCAGTACCTTAGCTGGAAGTCCGAAGCACAAAACAATTAGAGTCCCTGGGGTGATTAAGGGAAAGAAATTATCTATACTCATTGATAGTAGGAGCACCCACAGCTTTGTAGATGATAAATTAATTAGGAAACTGAATTATGCTATTGATGAAACCAATACTATGACAATCAGTGTAGATAATGGTGACAAATTGGAAAGCAAGGCTGTATGCCAACCATTAGTGTGGAGGGTACAGGACTGGGAATTTCAGTTCAATCTAAGGACCCTAAAACTTGGTTGTAGTGACATGGTGCTAGGAGTGAATTGGATGAACCAATTTGGCCCCTTTATCTTTGATTTTTTGCAAGGGTATATCAAATGCAAAGACCACAATAATGAGATGGAGTCGAGGAGTGAAACACCAGTACATCTAGTTAAAATGATGGAGGTTCAAGAGATGGAGAGATTGTGTAACAATAGCACTTATGGGGTTGTAAGACACTTATACTACATCAGTGAAGAAGAAGAAGAGCAGGGGAAAATACCTAGCCAAATGTTAGAAGTTATCTAGCAATTCCTAATTGTGTTTGAGGAACCAAGGGGACTACCATCCCCTAGATCACATGATCATCACATTCCCTTCAAGGAACGAGCACAGACATTTAGAATCAGACCCTATATATGCCCTTTTATTCAGAAAACAGAAATAAAGAGGTTAGTGGGAGAAATGCGGAGATACAAACGGAGAACCTATCTCAGGCCATGGCTAGGATGAAACTTTACGCGGACAAAAAAAAAGCAGCGAGGTCTTTTGAAGAGGAAGATTGGATTTTTCTCAAGCTACATCCTTATACTCAACATTCAAAGGAGCATAGGCAAAACAAAAAACTCAGTGCTAAATACTTTGGTCCATATTAAATCCTTAAGAAGATAGGGACAGTTGCCTGCCATTTAGCACTACCTGAAAGTTCTAAGATACACCCAATTTTCCATGTTTCACTATTGAAGAAAAAACTTGGAGGCAACGCGATGTCAGTACTACAACTTCCAAAGGAAAAACAATTGCTACAGGTAGGTCATTATCCTCTAGCCATTTTACAATCCAGGCTAGTGAAGCGCATACATCGAACAAATTACAATGGCTCATTCCATAGTCAAGCTCATCACCAGTGCAACCTGGGAAGATGCTGAATGGGTTCGAACTCAGTTTCTAGCATGTGGATCTTGGGGACATGATCAAGGTGAGGGGGAAGGTTGTTATGTGAGAAGCAAATGGGGAAAAGGAGCATAACCAGAAAGAAGAGAGGAAGAAGGCAATAGAATTACCTGACTTTGGAATGCAAAACGGTGTCGTTTTGAATTAATAAATTGTACTAGGTAGAAATCGTTTTTTCAATTTAAAATTGTCCAAACACGATTTCAACTAGAGTATATCTACCTCCCTGTGTAAAGGAAGAAAATAGTCTAATCTTTTTGCCAAATTGGTTGTTAATTGAAGTGATTCAATTCAATCCTCTCCTTCTCGTTATTATTTTACATCATTTAATTCCTCCCCCGTTCTCTTTATCTTTGTTTGGTGACATTATTTTACCGTTACCCCCTTCCCCTTTCTGTTTTATCTTCTATTGGTTACTTGATTCATCTGAGTTCAGTGCATTTTCTGTGTTACGGTGGTCGTGAAGTTGCAGGTGGAGTTCCGGTCGTGACAAACACTTAGGCATAAGCTTCGAGGAGTTAAATGAAATCTTTACATGAGGCACGCTTTAAGGCATAAGCCTCAAACAACTTTTTAAAGTGATGGTAGAGTGAAATTCCCATATTTGTATTTGAAATATGGAAATAAATTTCATATATATATCAACCTTACCATATTTTAAGAAAGATGTGTTTCCATGCCTTTTAGTAAGATGCTTTCTATCTCCCATCGTGTTATGGTTTTAAACATTTAATTATTTGGTAAAATTCGTTTTTATCTCTAGTTTCCACCCCAAACAAGTGGTAAAGGCAATTTGGAATATAAATGCAAAAGTATATATCATTGTTTAAAGTAACTATTTGAGGCTTACGCTTCAAATCCCACCTCACATGAGGCTTTCATGTAATGCCTTGAATGCCGCCCCCTTAAGTACCATTTGTGAGGCTTACGCTTTAAGATGACTAAGCTGTTTGTCCTGGACATTCTATTACTGACCTTAGCCTTTTGAGCTATTTTATTTTCTTTTATAGATTTATTTTATGTTTGTTTGCAAGCTAAACTTTTAATTTTGTTAATTTGTTTTATTGTGATTTTAAGATGTGTGATTTATCAAGAGTATATTTTTGTTCTTTTATTTATGTTCATTCGAATTATTCATTAGCCCATCTTGCGGCTTACGCTTCAAAGCGCCTTGAGACTTATTACTTGCCAGCAAAACATCTTGTTACCCGAAAACTTTTTATACATCGACTTATATGGTTGGTTGATGACAATCTTCATTAGACATCCAAAGATTTGAAGTGCAACAAGCACGAGACAAAGAAAGTAATGTAATACATGAAGTATGTTGGTCTTAGATATCCTTTTCTCTCATGGACTCTAGATGTTATCTGTGTGCATTAATCATTAAAGACTATAACTATGATGACTCCTATAAGTGAATAAAAAGCTTAGGCCATGTTTATATTATATGAATTTATTATTTATGATTGTTCGTTCGATTGATAAATTATTTTTTATTTTTTTGAGAATGGGGCTGAAAAATATTTGATGTTTTGCTTTCAAACTCTTTAGTAGGCTTCCGAGAAGGCTTTATTCCTTGTGACGAGATCAATGGCTTTTGTTCTAGGCTTTTGAAGTCTAGTTTTTTGTTTAGTTAATTATTGTGTGGTTTGTTTTAGAGGTTTGCCGTAGTGTTGAATCACTTGATTTAAAATCTTATACGGTTAGAAAAGGCCACGTATGTCTTTTAAATAGTCTTCAACATAAATGCATAATGGGAGGATTTGGAGTGGAGAGGAAATTACATTTGGTTAACTGGGGTGTAGTTTGTTCTCCCATAAGGTTGGGTGGTCTCAGATTGAGGATTCTTATACTGTTTAATAAGGCCTTGCTGGGTAAGTGGTTGTGGCGATTTGGAGTGGAGAGGGAGAATTCTTGGAGAGCAATTATAGGGGCAAAATATGGTGTTACGGAGGGGGGAGGTGCTCAGTTGAGAGTTGTGGTTCTTATGGGGTGAGTTTGTAGTGGTATATCTGGCGAGAGTGGATCGACTTTCAGACAAATTGACTTTTGCAGTGGGGAATGGTAATACCATTAGTTTTTGGGATGATTGTTGGTGTGAAGATCAATCGCTTAAGGAGGGATTTCCTTGTATCGTATTGCGTTGGTGCCGTCGTCATGGTGAATGATGTCTTAGATGTTCATAATTGGAGTTCCAGTTGGAACGTTGCTTTTGGCCGGGATTTCCAGGATTGAGAATTGGATGATTATGCGTCGTTTTTGACATTTCTGTACAAGGTACACATTAGGGCAGGAGAGGGTGATTGTAGCAGGTGGAGGTTGACACGAGATGATATTTTTTCAGTTCACATTTATTTTAGATCTTTGTTGGGACTTGTGGAGAGTTCATTCCCCTGGAAGATGGTTTGGAAACGTAAACTGCCTCCACGAGTGGCATTTTAACTATGGACGGTGGTCAGAGGACAGGTGTTAACCGTGGGTAATTTTCGTACAAGGGGTTTTTATGTTACGGAGTTGTGTTATATGTGTAAGAGGGATGGAGAGACGATTGGTCACTTGTTCCTTCATTGTGATGCTTCTCGTTTACTGTGGAATGATATTTTGGCATCGCAATACATGGATTGGGTGTTGCCGAGACATATGAGGACATGTTAAAGGCATGGAGAAGAAAGTTTCGAGATAAGGATAACAAATTTGTATGAGACCTTATTCCGAGTTGCATCGTATGGTGTGTGTGGAGAGAAAGAAACAACCGCTGTTTTGAAGATTTAACATGGACAACAGAGCATATTAGAGAATTGTTTTATTTGATTTTGTATACTTGGTTTAATGCTGCGGCTATATAGACGGGCTGTCCAATTTCGTGTTGTTACTTTCTGATTTAGAGGGTGTTTGGTGGAAATTAAAATTAGATTTTTAGTAGATTGTGATAAAAGGTTTTGAAATGTGTGGTTGAAAAAATGTGGGATTCATAAAAGATGTGGTAAATATTGATTGTTTGACTTTGACTTGAATTAAAATCTGATTTTAATCAGAAATAAACAGGGCTTTAAAGCGATAATACACTTCCTGTGTATTATGCATTGATTAATAAAATATTTGATTACCTTTCAAAAAAAAATCATAAAGGCATTTTGCTCATATATGACAAAGGCATTTTGCTCATATATGGTTAGTCCCTTCGTTATATTATTTAATAGGTTTATTATATTTACAATGACGCAATTGTGGGTCGGTTGGTAAATCAACTATGAGACATGATTTTGCAGCAGTGGTAACTCTGAAAGCTACAATTTAAGTTCTAGTTGGATCGAGTCTCAATTTATCTTTTGTTGTGATTATATATTTCATTCCATTTATTGTTCCATATTCTATTGTGTTTCTTTATGCAAGTAGTAACTTATAACAGACATGATGTTTACTTTATTTTATTGTCAATTTGTAGGTTGATATTAACATCCACCAGTTTTTTACGGGATATGCTGAAGGTCGGAGAGACAGACGTTCCTGGCCAGAAATGCTGAAATTGAAAGATTGGCCTCCGTCCACTTTATTTGAGAAGCGATTGCCACGGCATGATGCCGAGTTTATCAGTGCATTGCCTTATAAAGAATATACACACCCCCATTCTGGAATTTTAAATTTGGCGGCAAAAATGAAATTGGAGAAGAAAATGCTGAAGCCAGATCTGGGGCCCAAAACATATATAGCATATGGATTTGCTGAAGAGCTTGGACGTGGGGATTCTGTGACGAAGCTTCATTGTGATATGTCAGATGCGGTATGCTTATTAGTGCATATTTAGTTGAATTATGTGCTGTCTATTGTGTCTGGAATTAATTTCTTGAGCACTAGACAGATGCATACAGTTGCCAAAATTACTCTATTGTTTTGAATATATTATATAAGTGATGACACCATGAAAGTGTTCTCAGATGCTGAAGCCATAATCCTCACAAGTAGTCATCATTAGAAGTTGTAAGCAGTGGCACTTATAAGTAACCCTTGTTAGTGAAATATTGAGTGCTTATTAACCCTGACATTAGAATTAGCAATTATTGCATAGCTATGTGCTATGCATCCTCTTCAGTAGATTAGGTTCCAAGTAGAGGTATTTAATTTAGAGAAAAACGTCTCAACAAAACATTATATGAAGTTGAAAGGTGATGGTTCTTTCAATATTCATCATGTTCTCTCATGACCAGTGAAAGGAAATTTTTTACATCTTTTCTCCCTGAATTTCTTACTTTTCCTGCTGTTTGTTTATCCTTCTCTCCTGTTTGAGCCCCATTTTTGGGCCAAAATGCATTTTGGAATAGTTTTTTGATGGAAAATGTGTGGTTAAAAAATAGGGAAAGTCTTGGGTTTGCGTGTAAAATTATTTTATGGGAGAATGTGTGGTTGAAAATGAGTTTTGAAAAAATGAATTTTGGAAAAATGGGGGTCAAACATAGGCTTCTATTTCTTGTATAATTTCTTGGAGTTGTGTGAAATGGTGCCGAAGAAATTGTGCTTAAACTTTCCACTGTTTGATGCAACTTCTGTGTGTGTTGCTCTGTAAATGTTCACTTGCTCTCTTTTTCTTATTTAATGCTAATACATAATCATTTTGCATGAAAGGATGATTTAAAATAATCAATTATATTTTATCTTTGTGAACAATAAATTCACAGCTAACCACATCCTTTTACATCTTAAAATGATAAACTCAGATACTTTATGAAATCACTAAGCCTCCGTTTGGAAAATTTTTAAAGCAATTTATAAAGAGGAATAATAGTGGGTCCCATGAAATGTGTGGATAATAAATGAATAGTAGTTATGTATGTGTAGTTGAAATTACTTTAATGTTTGACTTTGACTGAATGCATAAATCTTTTATAAATTGGTTGCCAAATGGAGGCTGAATAGTCTAAAACAAAACAGAAACTAAATCAAGAGATGATTAAAAAGGAAAAACTTTGTATTGGGTCTTTCAACGAGAAATCAAGTGAAGGAAAGTATCCTAGAAAAGCAACAGCGTTCAAAGAGAAACCCCATCCAGAATATGCTTATCAAAGTTACATTCCAAAACTAGAGATTGGCATGCTAGATTCTTATATTTTAAACCAAACTGTGTGCCGTATTTGTTCCCCATAAAAGAAATTTAATTTGACTGCACGCAACAATTTTGATTTCAAAATTTTGTGTATTTTATCCACTGATAAAGGAAAGTAGAACTCAATTGAAAAAGGGTTCCCCATTAAGAAACATCTATGCTGAAAATATTTATTTCTCCTTTCCTATTGGGTTAGAATCCCAAACACCTCATATGCCAGGAGGTGAAAGGGGAAATAAGGATATGTATATATTGCACATTTGGGTAGGATGATAAGCCATAACCTCATGTAAGCATTCAGATGGTAACATGAAACTTGATATCATAATTGCCAGTGATCTAAGGAATGTTATGCTTCAACGAACTTATACTTGCTCATTTGACAATGAGTAAACTGATTGTTGCTGTTGTTCAACATCTGTCTTCAATTACTACCGATGAAGCTGTGTTCTTAGTTTGCCAATTAATTAGTGCTCTTCTGGTTGTGATTTAGCTAATGTTTTTTCAAGGACACTCTTTATAAGATATGAATCACACTGTACAAGTTTGACTTGAAATACACATTTGTTTACTGATCATTTTTTTTCTCTATAGAGTTATGGATAAGAAACCTGACATGAGCTATCTCAAGATATGGTACTTGTGTTCTGAAGATTATTGTTAATTTGCTTTCCATACCCAATTCCAACAGTGATAAATATGAGTGCCTATGTTGCTCGGACTCTCCATTTTGGCTGGAGTACCCGTGTCGACACGACACGACATGGGTACCGGTACGGAATACGGGTCCGCTACTTCAACATTCAATCGGACTCGGCAAGAAATTTTTGGAAATATTGTAGATTTCCCTTANTTATATGAATATGGATGAATTCAATTGGACTTTGGGCTATTTTTAATTTGAATATGAATGGACTAATAATAAAATTGTTTTTACATCACACATTTTTTAGTTTAATAAAATATTCAAATAATACATTTAATCATTTTTTTTTTTTCAATTCATCATTTTTAATTTGAAAAAGTAAAAATAAAATTGAAGTTTGAAAGACGTACCCACGTACCCGTGTCCGAAATTTGGACTCTTATTAACCATGTCCCCGTATCCCACATTTTTCAAAATAAAGGATCCGACACTTAGATACGTACCCGTATCCGATACCCGTACCCGAGTCCGAGCAACATAGATGAGTGCAATTGAAATTCCTCGGGAGTCATACATTCTTTCGTTTCCTGTTCATTTGGTTCGAGAAATCTATCCATATCTCTTTTTCTCTTGATTCTTTTCCAATCGGGATGTATATTTGAAAGAGGTTGACCTCCTTGCTTCTCTCATGTATGCGTCGAGCCCCTTTTCTCAGTTCATGGAGACAAAATATAGGACTGGTGCCAACAGTTCGTCATGGAAGAAAGGACTCACTAAGCTGGGATTACTAACTAATACTAATCTAATATAACTTTATTAGTCCGATCCTTTGTAGGAACTACCCGTAATAATGAACTAGCAATTTTTTTTCTGAGTTATGGATAAAAAACCTGACATGAGCTATCTCAAGATACGGTATTTGTGTTATGAAGATTATTGTTAATTTGCTTTCCATCAGAATTGCTCGAGTTAAGATTCTAGTCTTTGAGATTACTTGCCTGGATACATTCCCCCCATCTAACTCAGTAGAACTTGGAGCTGTGTTTGAACCAATGGCATGTGTACTTCGCCACTTGAGGTGCCCCAAGAAGCAATAATAGCCACAGGCCTCAATTTATCAGCTTTATGTTAAAATTGCGAGTGTCCATATGAGATATGCCTCATTGTGATTTACAAGATATATGAGATTATGTGATTATCTGTTTTGCTTCTGATTTATACTGAACTTGTATAGGTAAAAACTGTCTTCTTAATTCTTGAAGTTTTTAATTTATTCAGGTGAATATATTAATGCACACTGCTGATCCGACTCCTACAGCAGATCAACTTACCAAAATTGAGAAATTGAAGAAAAATCATGCTGCCCAAGACTATAAAGAACTTTTTGGTATTGTTAGTACTGATCATAAAGAGGCTGGGGCAACTGTGTCATCATCCGATGAAGGTTGTCTTGCTGCGGATAAGGATGGAATTGAGCATTCTCACCCTATTCGTGACCAGATTAGAAATGTTGATACTATGCTAAATAACGTTGACAACATAGTGGAAGATACTGACCAGTTGCCTATAAAGAATGAGAATAATAACCTTCCTCAATACATCTCTAAGGAATCAAATGCAGCTTCTGGATTGCTATTGGACAATCAAAATGACATTGATTTAACAATGGGAACCCGAAACAGCATACAGGGTAATAGATATGGTACAGGGAGTACATCAAGTGATGAACTGTGTATCAAGTCAAAAGGTTTGTCAACACAAAGTGCAACTACTTCGAAAAATCAACAAATAAAAAATTTGGAGGAAATTGACAGCGGGGTAGGAGAAATTGATTTTCCTTCTGACCTGCATTTCTCAAAGGAGGAGGGTCAGTTTTCTGCTGGCAAAAGTACCTGTTTTAAGTTCTCATCAACTGTACCAGACATGGATGAGGGAGGTGCAGTTTGGGACATATTCCGGCGGCAAGATGTCCCGAAGCTTGAGCAATATTTAAAAAAACACCATAAAGAATTCAGGCATATATATTGTTGTCCGGTAGAGCAGGTATGACAAGTCTTCTATGAGTATGACAAAGTTATAATGATGCTAGACTGACTTGTTGGAGAAAACTTATTGTTGCCCCTCTTCATATTTGAAAGAAAGTAAGGGCTTCTTGATGTTTCTGGTAATTAAGGTTTTTTGGAATAGTTCTGGTTGAAGTTAGTTTTATTCCTAATTTTATATCTGTTTTCTTCTTCATTACTCCTTTTACTTGATCTACCATTAGCTTTGGTATACCTTTTCCCCTCACTTACAGTATTCTCTTTCTTATCTTTTCTTTTGAGTCCTTTGTTGAATGGACACGGACACGGACACGTTGGTTTGAATTCTTAAAATTTTAAATTTGTATATTACATCTTTATTTATTTACTTTTTAATGTAGGACATGGCACATGCTACCTTTGAGCTTTAGAAATTTAAAGATTACATGAAAAAATAGGACATGCCATGTGATTTAGCGGGTGATCGTCTGTTCGATTAGTGTTGGACTCCGACACAATATGACACGTGTCGACATGGATATGCTGTCCAGGACTCCTTGTAGAAGTGTCCATGCATCATAGCTGTTGCTATTTGTACATGGAGCTTCGATATTCGTCAATATCTATGATTAATTAATTGTATGGTTCACATCCTTGTGTTCATGAAGAGCCACAGGGGGAGGAATATGCAACATGCTATCATAGGGAGGAAGCATGTATTTCGCTATTCCCTTTGTAACAATGCTGAACCTTTTTCAGAATATCCTGAGTAATGTCTACATTCCTAAGATAAACTCTTTCTCCAGCCGTTCTTTTTCTGAACTGTCCTCATCAGAAATAATTCTCATTTCCCTTTCTTACCAATTCAGAGTCACATCACTTTATGTCACCATCGATGGATTGAAAGGAAGAGCTTATAAAACTCGCATTTTATATTCTACCTAAATGCTCATGTCAAGTCAAAATAAGATTTAATTAGGGGGATTTAGAGATAGACAAGACTTGACATGATTACTGATCCGATTTTGTATCTTAGGAACATGCTTAAACAACCATCAGTCCATCCCCATTCCAGTGAATATTATTTCATCCATAAAATGCCTATGAATGATTTATGATCTAAATGGCCCAGATAATAGTTCAAAATAGTTGGTCGTTTAATGTTTATACCATGTATGTCAGGCAAAGTGCTTTTATTGCCACTCAAGTTGATATATAACAATGGGCTTGCTTCTTGTATTCTGTATTTTCAGAACCTACAACATATTTCTCTTTCCTTCCCTTATTGTGTACTTCGAGAAATTTACATCTGATAAATTATTATTTATTTTACATTATATTTGTTATAAGATACATTTTGGTATGTTGATGTTGTTCTTATATTCTATATTTAGGGCCCGCTTGACGAGACTTTTGCTTTAGCTTTTGCCTCATGTAGAATAGCTTTTGGAGGAAGTTACCTTAATTTTTGTTTGAAAACTAACTTATAAAAGAGCTTCCTATTTCGGAAGTGATTTTTAGAGGAAGCCACATTGGGCCAGCTTTCTCTAAAAACTCTTCTAACTAGAAGAAGCACTTTCATATAATTACCCAAATGGATCAAAAAACAGCTTTTGGGTCTCAAAAGCTCCTTTTTACTTTTCAAAAGCCATGCCAAACGGGGGCCCTTAGTCCCATAGAATAGATGGCAAATATATTTGGAGCCTGCTGCATATTTTTCTTTCTTTTGTTATTGTGTACTCAGAAATATTGCCTCTGGTGGTGAATTATTATGTAGAGGGAGAATATTTTTTAATAATATATTGATATAAGATGATGCATTTTTGTAGTCTGATAACTATCTTCTTATATTTTGAAAGGATTCTTTAGTTTTTTTCATGCTGAACGTTTATAGTTTTCCATGCAAAGAAGCCATTTCGTTGGAAGTTATTCTAGAGCTTTTTGTGCCTGCACATTGAACATCCATGAAGTTAACTTTTTCTCCATCTTGTCAATTGATTTTGCGAAACTAATATAAGAGCATTTCCTAGTTCCCATGAAAAGATACAGTTGTTTGGATGTCAGGATTATTTTGCTGGGAGTGGTTTTTGCCATAAATCTAATATCCTGGGCAGCAGTTTACCTGTTTTATGGCTGTTCGTTTGCTACCCAGGGGAAAGTTTTTGGTTTTCCTTTCTTGTGGACTCGGAAGTATGATTTTGCAGTAAAAGAACGTATTCAGTTCTCACTACCTTAATTTGCTCGGTTTTCATCTTTTCAAACAAGCTATATATTTTCTTTTAGTAAAAAAACTTTGGCCTCATTGTCTTTATGCCATGTAATATTCGAATGCTTCAGTGACCAAATACTCTGTTAGCCGAAACTTTGAAAAGATGCGCTAACAATATCTACAACTTCTCATTTCCTTACCAGATATATTTCAGCATAGCCGTCTCCCTCACTCCTGTGGGTCTTTGTTTTCCAAAAGTTTCATTTTCGCTCGTGTCTTATTTTCAAGATCAACGAATTGATTCTGCTTGTAGTAGTAGTTAACTTTTGCTGGCATGAATGAAGTTTCTTTAGATTTGCCGATTCCCTCTGTTTTTAGATGCCACTTGAGTGGTGTATATTATAGACTGGTGAAGTGTTCACATGATGCCGTCAGCTTATGTTGAGCCACTAGTGTAGCTTTGTATTTTAGTCAAAATTTGGAACTTTTGGTGGTTACTGATAGAGATAAGAAGACTTGTATGATATTCTGTTTGCATGAAGAAGTATTCTTCAAACTGATTTAGAGTCATTATAGTATTTATTTCCCTTTTGGTAACTAAGTCTTGCTGTTGAAATTCACCATCTTATATTCTACCATATTTTTTTTGAGTTACTAGGTTGTACACCCGATCCATGATCAGAGCTTCTACTTGACCTCGTATCATAAAGCGAAGCTTAAGGAGGAATATGGTTTGTTATGCTTTAGTTTGACTGGATTATACCTTCCTATTTAGAAGTTGTTAGTGATACTAACTTGTTTGATATAGGAGTTGAACCTTGGACTTTTGTGCAAAAACTTGGAGAGGCTATCTTCATACCGGCTGGATGTCCTCATCAAGTTAGAAATCTTAAGGTACTTCAGATTATGCTCTTTTCAATAGCCTTCACAAATGTTCTCTAAATTTTCACTTCATCCAAGTTGTGTTCCATTCTGTGAACCTCAATGCCAAATAATCTAACTTCTGATGCTCCTTTATGGAAAACTCCAAAGTCAATGGTAATTTAAGGGAAAAAGACACGTTGATTAAGTGATCAGAATGGTAGACTTATTTATTATTTAATTTTCTTTCTACCTTGATTCTTGGATTTAATAATATTTGATGTCAATGCTACATGAATTTTGAAAGGCTCCTTTCGACATGTTATAACCATTTTACCTGGGGATTGTGGAAGGGTGAAGTGTCAAATGGGATTTATCATTTTTACACACTAAATATGTAGGAAAATGAGTATTTCAAAGTTGCATAAATTTGAATTACTTTTCTATAGATGCTATCAAAATAGCATCAGGAGAGAGACTGAAATGTATGTTTAAGATGAGAGTCTAGCCTTTTTAAATCTCTGTTAGTTTCCGGCTGCTTGCCGTTATACCTTATTGATGGTTGTTGAACCTGCAACTTCCATGAGAGATTTTTCTAGATTGACTGCGCTGAACAGTAAGTTTAGCTATCTGAACTCCCCTGCTGCCCTCTTACACTAAAAATCCTTTTACCTTCTCCCACTTACTGGGATTGAAGAATGTTTATGGGAATATATATACTCCCTGGTATATAAGCAGTGACTCACATCCTGCTTAGCTACCTTCCCTAGAGTAAATTGCACTAGAAATAACAATTTAAATATTTTACTTGTATGCGGATTGCAAAAACTTGGAACTATTTATACAAAAACTTGTCTACACATTAATCTTCTTGTATCAGTGTGCCACTGGTAAAAATGGGCCTCTTTGGCATTTAATTGAACAAAACTGCTGAGATTCTATCATCTTATACGACTCCAAAAGAGTGCTGTAGATGCAATGCAGTTCCTTGAATAATTGCTCTATTTTGTTCACATGTTGCATTGATTTTTATATTATTTAGCAGACAAGTACCAGTTGCCTTTTTCTTTCTTCTATATAATCTTTTCCTTGCACCCCCTGCCAGTTCTGTTTGATTTCTCATCCCCCTCTGAAAATCTTCATTTTATGTCTGGTTCTTATTGGTCTCTTGTCATGATTACTTGCAGTCTTGCATAAAAGTTGCTCTCGACTTTGTTTCACCTGAAAATCTCAGTGAGTGTGTTCGATTGACTAAGGAATTTCGTGTTCTTCCTCAGAACCACAGGGCTAAGGAGGACAAGTTAGAGGTATTGCTTGATTTTTTGCTTGACAGGTCAAATGGAAAGAAAGAGCCTGTTGATATTTTTTTATGAACTTGTTTTGCAGTATGTTCAAGTCTTTCACATCTGAAACTTTAGTGCCATTAAACTTAATTGTTTCCCGTATGAACGCCCATATTTTGAAGGTTATTGTATGCAAGCCATCAATTGGTAGCCGTGTAAAGCAGCTCTTTGCATGGATGTGATTTGGAAAGCTTTATATATGGTTTATAAATAATCCCATACAATTTCCGTTTAGTTTGAATTAATCTACTCCGTACTGCTTTCTCTGTTTTTGACATATTTCTTACTAATATCAACTACACGTCTTCAGTTAGTATGCTAATACTACTGTTGATACTACTTCAAATAGGTAAAGAAGATGGCTCTACATGCGTTATATGATGCTGTTAGTGAGCTTGAGCATCTCATGTCGTAAGTATAAGCTTGCACTTTTTTGCTTCTTGATAAAGTACCCATAATTGTTCTGCTTTTTGCTAGTCAACATTTGCTTTACTTTATCATGTCAAAAACTGGGAAAAATTCTTTAGTGGCTTTTAATTTGATGAAAATTTTTCACTAGTATACTCCAACTGAAACGCTTTTCCTAAAAGATATTGGAAATGTCAATAGGTGGTTTTTTTCCATCTTACTAGAATCTAAAATAAAATTTCAGGTGTGAAGAACAAGAACCCGAATTACCAGTGTGCGGAACTATGTCACATCCAAACCCCAGTCTACCAATCCAAGACGACCTGTTATCTGCATCACCGTGTCAATCATCAGGCGAGTGTCCAACCTCCACTACATCACCTCACTGTCGGGATTCTCTACAATTGTCAAAAGATGTGCCTGAGGAACCTACTATTGATCCAGGAGCTTGTGGGAATTCGAATAACATTTAAATGCATCGAACAGAGTTGAACTGAAATTACCAGTATCCATATGCATATACCTCTGTCGAACTTCTGGTATAATTTTAGGAGATTTAAGCAATGTGTCTTAACTAGTATAGTTTTGGGAGGTTCATCTTTGTATACTGTTAAAATCTCCTGCACTATCATGGAGTAGCTCTACTGTGTACTAAATTGTCATGTCCTCTATGACTTCTCCCACAATGTTTTTGCCTAGTTTTAATTTTATTCAAAGATTTGCAAAATTTACCAAAGTTTCTTTTACAATTACTTGTTTTCCAAATAATATTTTCTATAATATCTGGATGGTTTTCCAAATAATATCTTCTAAAACGTGTTATTGTAAATGTGCACGAAATTATAGTTACTTGTGACTTGGTAAAATGTTTTTGGTTAAACAAATAATAAATAATAAGAATGCATGTTTATAAAATTCAAATCGCACGAGGCCGAGTTGTTATATTTAGGAAATTCTTTATTTTGTTAGGATATTTTGTACTAGAGAGCATTTCTAATTTTCACGACAAATCATTTTGGCATGCTAATGATTTTTTTTTTTGAACTCTTTATTTTACTCGTCAACTAGTATCTATTATTTTTGCCATCTTTTTTTAAAATAAATTTATAACTAAAATATTATATAAAATTTTAAAGAGTTACGATTAATTAAGTACCATTAATATAAATACGAATCTAGAGTTGATTTGACTTTTCAATTAATGAGATCTAATCGATTCTCTATTTTGAAAGGTAAAATTAAAAAGTCTATTAGAGTTTAAATTTAGGGAAAAATTCATGGTTCAGGGATTTACTTTTAGGAAATAAAAAAATCAGGTCCCAATGTTTAAAATTGCAAAAATCAGGTTTTTTTTTTAATTAATTAATTATATTTCACAATTATTATATTAAATTAAATATTTAATTATAATATAATATAATATAATTAACCCCATCCCACCAAACTCCATCTCCACCACCCCCATTGCTCCGGCGAATGTTCTCTGGCCGCACTGAATTCCGACGACTACTCCGGCTACCGTTCTCCGGCCGCACTTAATTCCCGCTACTGTTCCGATTCCGACAATTGTTAAGGTCACAGATATATGGATATGGGTCACGGAATATTTCGAGGTCACACATCAAAACTGATAAAAAAATTATAGGTCACAGTTNCCCGTCACAACAACACACAACCATCGCCACACAAGTACCACCACTACCAAACTGTAAAAATAATCACCACCACTCCAACAACTAAAAACACCAATGCCACCACTGCCGATGGGGAAAGGTAGGGTTGGGTTGGGGAAAACGAGGGGGAGGGGACGCTGCTGCCGAACGGCAGCAGCGTCACTGTAAGGGGGAGGGGAGGGGAAGGGGCAAGGGAGGGGAAGGGAATGCTGCTGCAAATTGCAGTAGTGTTGCTTTGAAGCTGCTGCGAGTGACGGCTGCCGAACCGCAGCAGGGTGACGACGCCGCCACAGCCGAACGTGCCCCCCAATTTCCACGACCAGATCCTTCACATTTAAATTAGTTTTCGCTCCCAGTTCCACTGTGGCGATCAAATGCTCTTCGAGGACGTTCACCATCAAGAGTCTCCCCATTACTGAAACCGCCACGACGACCACCACGGAAATCTCCACCTCCACGAGGTCCACCATATGGTCGCCTTTCAGATGGATTTACAGCATCTCCATCTTCTGAAACCCTGTACCCACCAGCAAAACCCATTGTTGTTTCTACATTTATTTTCATTATCGGCAGAATCTCAATTATATCCATCGGGGTTTTAAGGATTAGGTGTGGAAGGAGGGGGATGGGGATGGGGATGGGGATGGGGAGGGAAGCAGCGGGCGGTGGCGGTGGAGAGAAAAGTTGAAAGAAATGAAATGAAATTGATTATGTTAGGGTTTGGATAGAGTTCGGGTTTTATTGGTGGGGGTAGGTAGTAGGGTGGGTATAATATATTATTTTTATTTTATAACATTATTATTAATGAAAAATAATAAAACCTGATTTTTGATTTAAAAAAGACAAAACCTAATTTTTAGAAAGTTAAAACTAAACACCTGGTCTAGTGTAATTTCCTCTTAAATTTAAGGGTTGATTGTTTTTTAAAAAATAGAATAACTTATGGGCCTTGGTCAAATTGGATTGAGTTTGGGTCCAACTCGATAGTCAAACTGAATAGGTTCAAAATCGATCGAATCAGGTTGGTTCGGTTGATTTCAAGGTATTTTTTTCCTTTAATATTGTGGTTTTTGGGTGGGGAAATCTCGACCTGAAAGTTGAGCCCGACTAACGAGTTTTTTGTCCACTCCTAATTTTACCTTCAGAGTATTTCTTGGAGATGCGATATTGTAGCAAATAATAATAATAATAATAATAAATAAGTCCCAACATTATTTTTTGGGCAAATTAGGCCAGATGCTTTAAAAAATTAACTAATTTGATTAATATCCTATTAACTAATTAAATCATTTAACAACGTATTTAATACGTTCTAAAACCCTCCAAACCCCCCAAACTCATATCAGTCCCAATTCCATAAAGCTCCCAAAGGAAACCCACTCACCTAATATGATTGCTCGTTTTTAGGTTGTTACATTACAATTAATGTCACTGAAAACTTCACTTTGGGTGAGAACTCAGCAATATTTAGTAGCACCTTTGAATTAGATGTGAATAATGCAAGTTATGGTAAATGGTTCTTCCTTAAAATACTACAGTGTGCAGAGCTTCAATATTAGTGAAGGGATTATGAGTGTAGAGCTCTGAATCACCCATTCTGCTACACTCGAATCGAAATTCAAACCTGAATAATTTCGGACTTCGTCGCCTGAGTTTTTTTGAGGAAAAAGAGTCATCGACTCTTAGTACTTTCCTCGCTAACGTTTGCGATGGCCAAGAGAACCAAGAAGGCAGGTATTGTTGGGAAATATGGAACCCGTTATGGTGCTAGTTTGAGGAAAATATTTCAGGTACTCGTTATGGTGCTAGTTGTAGGAAGCAGAGTAAGAAGATGGAAGGCAGTCAACACAGCAAGTATTTCTGTGAGTTCTGCGGAAAGTATGCGGTGAAGAGAAAGGCCATGGGTATTTGGGGGTGCAAGGACTGTTGCAAAGCCAAAGCCAGTGGTGCTTACACATTGACCACTGCTAGTGCTGTGACTGTCAGGAGCACAATTCGAAGGCTGAGGGAGCAGACAGAGAGTTAAATCCAGTGAATTTTGTGTTACATTTCTGCATTCGTGTTTTTCGTTTCGTAACTTTAGATTTGGAAACTGGCAAGTTTATGTGCCTTGAATATCTATTTGATAAATTAAAATTTTGAAACTTTAGATTTCCTTTGTCTTTGTTTTTCTTCTTGACTTTAGGCGAGTTTGTTTTAATTTATTGGAGACAAGGAGAATATGAATGCTGAAAATGAGAATTAGCCATTGTTATTTAGATTTTATTTTTTTAAGTGGAGGGTCTGTAATTACTGAGTTTTTGTAGTGTTGATTTTCGTCTTTATCCGAGAGAAAAAGTCGTGTACTGACATAATGAGTTTATGTTAAACCCATGTTTAATCTCATTTGTTTCATTTGAATATGTGCTTATGTCGGATAATTTTGTAATATATAGGATATGTGCACATCTGATTTGTGATTTTAGAAGAGTGTTGGATGAATTGTGAAATCCTTTGCGAGGATATTTTATTAATGTTTTGGATTATTGAATTGCTAACATGTGAAATCTTCTATCTTCCCACCATGTGTTTGATGAAATGTCAGATAAGTTGGTGTTCTTGATTTTTTTCGTAGTTTTTTTTTATTGTTTTATCACTTTTTTTGAGTGTTCAAATATGTCCACCATGTGTTTGATGAAATGTCCAAATGGTAGAAGTTTTTATTGATAACAAAGTTTGACGAGCTTTTTTGTCTTCTATCTTCCCAAAGCTAAATGTGGTAAAAATGTGATATTTGTCACTTTTTTAAGTTTGTGTAACTTTTTTGAGTTTGTCAATTTTTATTATGTGTCACTTTTTTTGAGTTTCGTCTTTTTTTTTTTTTTTTGATTTTGTGTCAATTATTTGAGTTTGTATCACTTTTTGAACGTGTCACTTTTTTTGAGTTTGTGTCTGTCTTTTTAAAAAAAGTGAAAGTTTTTTAGTGTTCAAATATGTCCACCAAGTGTTTGATGAAATGTCCAAATAGTGGAAGCTTTTTTTTTATGACAAAGTTTGACAAGCTTTTTTGCCTTCTATCTTCCCAAAGCTAAATGTGGTAAAATTGTGATATTTGTCACTTTTTTTTAGTTTGTGTCACTTTTTAGTATGTGTGTCACTTTTTTTTTGAGTTTTGTCACTTTTTTTTTTGAGTTTGTGCCAATTTTTTGAGCTTGTATCACTTTTTAAGTGTCACTTTTTTTGAGTTTTGTCACTTTTTTCTGAGTTTGTGTCAATTTTTTTAAAAAGGCAAAAAAGTGACAATTTTTATAAAAAAAGTGACATTGTGTCACTTTTTATTTTACATAGTATTTTTTACTTCTGAAAAACTTTTCATATGATTTTTCAAAACATTCATAATTTTAAGGGTATTTTTGTAAGTACCCCCTTTTTTTTTTTCATTAAAGAGGCCAATTCAGAATCTTAAATAGATTTAGACCTTAACATCAACTATAATCCATAATTTATTACATGAAATGAGAATTTGTTTATAAATGATTTTATTCAGACTATATTTACACTATTCTATAGTATCCTTAATATTAATTAACACATATGTACATGTATTCATTGAATCAGTTTATTAAGCTATTCAATTCCATCATATGAAAAACGTCCTCCTTCTCTAGATTAATTAATTAATCGCATATTATTTACTTAATAGATTGATAAATTTAATGAGTCATGTGGTTTGTAGAAGTTTCTTATCGTTATCTAAAATATGGAAGAGAAATAATCAATAATATGTGCTTTTTTTTAAGGATGTCCCTCATTGCTCAAATATATAGACGATGAGTGAATAGTATGCAACATGTCTCAAAGATATATAATGAATTTTGATCTTAATTATGTATACCGACAACAAATGTATCGGTACAAGTCGCTCTTTTTTTTTCACGTTTTCAATGTTTTCTAATGCAAATGACTTGGATAATGTAGATTCACCGCAACCTATGATGCCTATACAAACGCTGTATCTTTTAATTAATTGTGTGTTAAGCTAATTCAACCATAACTAAGATGTAGACAATATCCTTCAATACTTGACAATATTTACAATCTCTAGTTCAAAAGTTTTGAAAATTGTTGCTCACAAGGGTTAGTACATAGAGAGGAAACTTAAAATCAACTTTATTCTAATTATGACAAGAAAATATTCATTTTAACAGTTCAAAAAAAAAAAAAAATCAATTTTACCATTGCTACAACAGTTGGTAAAATTTACCAATAGACTTTATTCATCGATAATTCTAAGAGCCATCAAAATTCTTTCAACAAGTTCACTTTTCGTTTTCACAATATGATCGATACTCTTGCAATGTTTTTTAAGATTTTGTATTTTTCACTAATAAATCCAACTTAGGCTACTTTATTTACATCATATTTGTTATCTTTTGAGAAGGATCTCGGTTTTTTTTTTTTTTTGGTGGCTTGATGCATAAGTTCATAACAAAAAATGTCCTTAAAGGGTACTTAAAATGCTGTATGTATTTTCTACTCTCTGGATTCCTTGATCCATCTTTTTATCTAAAGTAATAGCAATAGTTTTGAGATAACAGAGCAGAATTCATAAAAAATTCGGATCCAATTCTGTAAAAGGCAAAAGATTTTTGCGAGATACAACGTTGAAATGCAGCCGTGGCCGCGAAACCTTTCCATTAGAAAATAAGTTTTGAATAAGTAACCTTTATTTATCAGAATTGAAAATAAGGTCACATGTTTTGATAATGAGATCATAATTATAATTTAAATCTGGGTTATGGTCTCCTTATGAGAATAAGGGTGAAATTCAAAAAGAAAAAGAATCACACTTACAATAAGTAAAATTTACTTAAAACATAAAAGTAAGAAAAAAAACATTTTCAAACATGTTTGAAATGAAAGTAATTTTAACTTATTTTAAGCATAGTAAAACATGTTCCCAGATATCACGCTAGCTAAAATGTAATCACTTGTGAATTGATTTCAAACCTTTACAAAGACTACTATAGCTATTATTCTTTTGTATCGAGTGTGGACGAATATTCAAATATGAAGTAAGGTTGACATTCGAAGTAATGAATTGAATTCTTACTTATAAATTTCGATTCTTTTGAGGATTTTATTTTACACACTATATCTTTAAAAGATTTCTAGTTAATTTCTATTAGAATACTTTGGTCTCAAGATTTTAATTGATTAAAGATTATGTGAATCTCGATTATTGACTAATATTAATCAATTATATGAAAATGACTAGAAATATTCAATAAAATGATAATACATTCGTTAGATGAGAACGTATTTATGCTAAGCGTGACATCTTGTTATTCATTATTAAAATTGAAGAGTATTCGACGTACATTCGAATACTTATTAAAGAGACACTAGAAGAGAAGACGAAATGAGATCAAACGGAACTTGACGTAACAATTTTAGTATCTAGACTTCATTTTCACTCTTTTTAGGAAAAATAGTGAATTGAACGTGCGTTGCACGTTAGTTAGATAATATTTATTAAAAATAAGTGTGTAAATATGAGA